GAGAAAAAGTCCACAATTATCTTCACAGGTCCACAAGTACCTTCCCGAATGAGCTGTCTGAAGGCCTCCTTCTCCTTGTAGTTTTTTGGTGGCTGACCATTATGCTACAATGACAAACAGCAAAAGCAGAATTAGATTCTTCTGCACAGCAACAGAAATGCTAAAGAAGCTGTCAGACATTTTGGCACTAGAGAAGCAAAAGAAAAATGTAATACTGCACCTCACTGAGCCATTTCTCCAGGTATTTAGCAACAATGATTATCCACGGTGTGTGACTGTGATCCTACGGATTAAATAAAGAACAGAAAGGAAGATGATTGGATGTGTAACCCTGGCATCATTTGAATCATGTGCATGCACAAATGAAACACATACCTTCTTCTCCATGCTGTCAAGATCATATGACTTAATGTGGTTCTGAAATTCAGCATAGGGTTGGTCCAACCTTAGATCCTCCAAGGCATTGTCTGGGTGAGATTCAATCACTGAAGAGAGATGCAGAAAAATTCAATATTAGTGTCATGTCAGTACTCTTAAATATACTGTGTAACTTGTGAAATATTAATACATAAATAGGCTATGTTCCTACCAAGTTCACTGTTCACGAAAAGTGAACTTATCGGGTTAGACATACCAACTGTAGAATGCCAAGACTATAAAAAGGATTTAAAGAAGAAAACTGCTGCTAAGAGCAACTTACCTGTATGCTCCTGCACCACCAGTCTCATGTAGCCAATGAGGCCGTAGGTCTTACATACTAGGAAAGGTACAGAGGCACTGCAAAGAACTGAGCCGAGCCTCAAACACGTGCTGTTGGATTGAAAAGATATTTGGACAGAAAATAAAACCAGCAAGAAAATTAAGTCAGTCCTGAAACTTTCTGCAAAAAGACTTAACATTTTACATAAAAGGAAAAAGTATATGTTAAAAGCAGCCCGACAATGATGTTTACTTTGATTGGAAAATCTTGCAATAGATATGTATGAACGTTCTCTAAGAATAAATGACTTATGGCCTGCCGTAGTTTTCTTCATCAGCTCTTTTTTACAGTATTACAGTACAGTGGAAAAGGCTTGAATCATTCTTCTTCCAAGGAATCAGACTTTCTTGTATCTTTCTTAAACAATTTCCAAATCATTGTAGTTGGACCTATGAAATGCCAAAGAGTACACAGTTTGACCAACATAAAAAAATGTTTGTGAACCACCAAAGTGACTTCAAAAGTGCCTAAGAGTCCTTGAAAAGTGCCGAATATGTCCAGGTGGAAGAAGGCAAGAAGTGACTGTGACAGCAGATAAACAGTATCTGAAAGTCATATCCTTAGGAAATAGGGAAAATTAGCATCAGCTTCCGTTCCTCATATTTCAGTGTGACAATGATCCCAAACACACTGAACTGTAGTAAAAGCAAAACACACAATGAAACACTATCAGTTGGGGACTGGCTTACCCCGAGCCCCGACCTCATTATTGAAGCAGTGTGGGATCATCTTCATCATTCAAAGCTCTTCATCACCATGAAATTTTTTTAATGTGCTTCAAGAAGCCTGGAGAACTATTCCTCAACTACTTAAAGAAATGGCAAGAAAGCTTACTTAAGAAAGTTCAGGCTGTGTTAAAGAATAAAGGTGGTCATACCAAATGTTGAGTTTCAAGCTTGTTAGAATTTGCACAAACTGTTTTTTCCTTATACATTGCATTTCTGTGTATGTTTGTACATTGTCTCAAAACACTGCACCAATTTTCTATTTTCCCAGCACAGTATAAAGAAATGACAGGTGGGTCAAGATTTTAGCACAGCACTGTAAATGAATGCAAGGATTAAGATGATCTCATACCTTTCTGGTAGCTGGACACCAATGACTATGGTAAACCTGTGGAAAAATTCTGAATCGTTGTCCAAAAGCTTATCTGGACCCTGCAGGTGTGACAGAAATTACAAGAGGCTTCAGAGTGGCAAAAGTCATAAATTCACAAACCATATGTTTCATTCATCTGAATCAGTTAGGTTTATTGTCAAGTTTGTGGAATTTGTCTTGGTGTAATGGTGGAGAAAGATCTTCATTTCAACATCACAAACACTGCGGATGCTTAAAATTTCTACTGAAACATTATTAAGGTTTTGAAAACAGCTGGAAAAGTTAATGTGGCATGTTGTCAAATAATTTCACCATACACTTAACTATTGCTCAGACATTGACCAAGTTGGTAAATCTTGTTATGATCTCATGATCTTTAGCTGAAAACTAAATAGCTGTGCAACACATTTAAATAAAAATAGCTGGATACAGCCATAGTGATAAGTTACATGAAATTCATTTTGGTAGTTTTTTTTGTGCGTGTAATCATGCTGCCATGTGATTACAGACAGTACACGTGATTACAGACAGCCAAGACTGCCTTGGAAGGGAAGCAACACCAACCTCCTCGACAAAGTTTCCAGAGACATCACTGTTCAGCTCTTGCAGCAGTTCGGTGGCAGCCTGTGCTCTGTTCTGCAGCACAAAAAGTACGATAAGAACTCAAACAAATATGGAAATACACTGCTTACTTCAACAAAAGAACAACAGAGAAGGTTGGGAGAAAATGGAAACTGCCAGCAACGCATACCTTTCCTATGCTGTCTTTGCTGAGGAAAAAGCTGCAAAAGGAGAGGTCAGCTGCAAGCAGGCAAGTAAAACTGATAGAATAAAAATACTTTTAAGCTAAACATGACCACTTACTTGTTTCCAACATCTTCACCTGTGACTGTGTGCCCATCTACTATAGTGAATGCTCCAATACCTGACACACAGAACAATTCATTCAGTCAGATGTTTTCACCATCACCTGCAGCAAGGTCACTAACACTGAGGAAAATCTGTTCACCTGGAAGTACGAGGTTCTTCAGTATCTCCGTTCCCGTCGCCGTGGCGTTGATGAGACACACGTGTGCATTTTCCAGTGTTTCCTGGCCGTGGTCACCCCACAGCCTGAAAGCACACAGCACAACACGGACATTTGTTGCCATTTATCATCACTTGCTATACAAACACAGTGAGCTACTTTTCCCAGAATGACTCGGCTGCTGGTAAGAAAGATTCACCCTCATCGACAGCCCTGTATTATTACACCTGTTAAACCATCAAGAGCTGTTCATAAATACGTTCAAACAGGGTGACACCTGAGCCCTCACAGAAACAAAGAGCATAACATCACATCAGTCACATCACTCTTACGGCTTACTAATGCATTAGCTCGCCGGTGCTTATTTCAACTGCAACTCTCATAGCAAGCTAACGCTAGCTAGCTTCAGCACTTTTGCCCCAACAGCGTTGCTGCTGTGACCTCTCATGTTTTCACACGCTTAGCGAGAGGGATATTATTTCTTTGTGAAAACTACGCTGCTGTTTAAACTAACCTGAGCTGCCGGTCGTATTTTTGCTCTTTCGAGGCTTTGGTGGATGCCATCATAGCTATGTGTTGAGTGACGTTAACGAACGTAAATTGACTTCCTCAGCGCCAGATTCGACACAAAAGTGCCCGCTCGAAAATCCGCTCTTGCACTTTCGACACAGATCAACAGCGTTATAATTAATATTGTGTTAGAAATAACACATTTAATGATTCCAAATCTGAATTTTATTCACTTTTATATTTGTATATTTATATTGTGCATATTCAGCAGACCGCCTTTTATCTTTTTATCTTTCTTCTCACTATTTTCTGTTTTGTTTTTTCCCCTTTGATTTCGGTTAGCTATCAGGGATTTTAATGAATTTGTCTGTTTAAATGTAGTAGTTACAGATGACACATTACACCTCTGAAGGCCTTTTTGTTTACTATGGTGATGAGCAGGTTGACAGATGAGGTCAGGCAGGAGTCTCTGTGGACTATGCTGTTTTCAGATGACATTGTGATCTGTGGTGAGAGCAGGGAGATGGTGGATGAGAGCCTGGAGAGGTAGAGGTGTGGAGAGAAGAGGAATTAAACTCAGTAGAAGCAAGACCGAATACGTGTGTGTGTGTGTGTGTGTGTGTGGAGACTTTGCATATGTAAAGAGAGTAGTGAAGTTACATGAGTTTAAATACCCAGAGTTTAAATACCCGGGGTCAACCAAGGTACCGAACAAGTGCACAAGAGAGGTGAAGAAGAGAGCGCAGGCTGGGTGGAGTGGCTGGAGACGAGTGTTGGGGTGATTTATGACAGAAGGATAGCAGAAAGAGTGAAAATGAAGGATTACAAGATGGCAGTGAGACTTGCTGTGATGAATGGTTTAGAGATGATGTTACTCACAAAAAACAGTTACAGTTTTATTACCTGAAAAGTAATGCTACAGAGGAGTTTAAACATAATTATTTGCACAGTTAAATAGTCTTTTAGTCTTTTAACTTAAGTAAACTTATTATTAGTGCAACCTGTGTAAAAATCAAAATATATTTTCAATACCTAATACCTCACTCATATAAAATGGCTTCTGTAAGAATCATACAGATTATATCACTGCAGGTGTTTATGATTGTAATTGCTTGGGTCTTCCTGGGATCTATAACAATTTTAAAAAAAAGTAACTAAAGCTTTAAAATAAGTGGTATGGAGTATAAAGTATTCTTCTATATAATAGATTATTACAAAATATAGTATATAGCTTAGAGCAGGGGTGCCCAATCCCGGTCCTCGAGAGCTACCGTCCTGCAGCTTTTAGATGCATCCTTGTTCCCACACACCCGAATCAAATGAATGGCTTGTTATCAGGCCTTTGCCAAACATGATGGCATGCTGAAGAGGTAATTAAACCATTTGATTCAGCTGTGTTGGAGTAGGGATGCATCTAAAAGCTGCAGGATAGTAGCTCTCGAGGACTGGGATTGGGCAGCCCTGGCTTAGAGTATAAAGCTGAAGCAGAAAGAAATACCTAAAGAAAAAAGGGGGATTACAGTACATCTGTATGTTAGTAAAATACTCAAATTTGACATTAAACTTCTACGGGGCCAAGGTTTCGGATGAATAATAATACATCTAATTAAGAATTTGACAAATTTTTTTTTTTAATTTAATAAAGATCCCAAACCTACAAGCAGCAGCAATTAACAAAAAAAATATTGCACAAACTAAATAATACTGATTTGGCATGTCTACATCATGGAAGCAGTGCGAGGAAGATTTCTCAAAGGGCACTTTTTAGTAGATCACATTCTTGATTTCGCTTATTTTTCTTTTTTTCAACGAGGTGTCTATTTTAGCGTTCAATGGTCGTGCGCGCGCCCACACGTGTGGGCGTGGCAAAAAGAGGTACCTTCCCCATTGCCAGTAAACTTGTTGAACAGCTGTACCCGCTGATGTCCCTACCTGTCCTTCACGTGCGCAACGAAGTGCCGCTTGGTCCGACTGGAACCTGCAGACAGGGACAATGACGGGACATCACTGGGGATACGGGAAGGAGGACGGTGAGATGTTCCAACCTGCAAGCTCCAGGCACTGTTTTCCTGCGTGGAGGCAATTAGCAATTTAACTGGAATAAACGGCCTGTTTGCGGTGCTTCGTGTTTTACTCAGACGTTAAAGACAGCCTTTAAATCCCGATTAGCCCTACGCTTAATGGGATAAACGGTTTCACCTCAACCTGACAGTCCAGTCGAATTTGCCCTGAGTTACAGAGAGTGTAATATTTTTAATTTTGCTCTGTCTAATGTTCTTAAGCAGACTTATTCTGTGCTGTGCTACATTGCCTTAATGTTATTGAGAAAGTCTGAATTCCCCGATACCTGTTTAGGACCAAAGTTTTGGATTATGTCACCAGCCTTTAGTTGTGGCCTGGAGGGAGAAAGCTTCATTAGTTTAGTTGCAGGTTTATTGTTAGGTGACACACTAACAGATCTGGTGCAGATCATTGTAGTTGCAGAATTGTGTGTGTTGTAAATGTGTTTGTTTTTGATTATATTTGTTTCTCCCATAGGTCCCTCTTCATGGTATAGAAACTACCCTGTTGCGGAGGGGAACCGGCAATCACCAATTGATATCGTCCCCAATGAGGCCTCACATGACCGCGATCTAGGCCCTATAATGACAAACTATGACCACTGCACCTCCATTAACATCTCCAACAATGGACACTCCGTAGTTGTGGAGTTCAATGACTCAGATGATCGTTCAGGTGAGAAAATAGTGCTTTTGTTTTATTTGTTTGTTTGTTTTAAATTCACTTCAATGATATTCTTGTTCCACTTTACCTGTTGTAGTTATATTATATGTGTTATATATGTATTATATGTGTTACAAACATGCCCATATCTGTTTTAGAAGTTTATATAACTGCCGTGTAACTATAATAGCAGCCGAAGACAAACTTGATCTTCAGTCTGACATCTGCTGCCAGTTACATGAGGGGGAAATCTGTGCTAAAAGTTTACTTCCAGTAATCCTTTCCTTGATTTCTCGAAAGCAAAACCACGTGTAAAGCTGATTATTATCACAGTTTGCAAATAAGCCTCTTATTATGCTGCAGGAAAGCGTAAGCAGCACTTATCTGCATGACTGTCTGTCTGCTGGACAAGAAATATAATGATGTTGGATGATCTCAGTGGTTATGATGACAATATTTGTCTTTATCACTGGGTGGATCTGTGTTAACCAGCCAGACATTAGCATGAATGATAAGCTCGGAAAAGTAGGCTGTTTTGCTCTGACGGTTATCACAAAACAGCCAAATGGCTGTTTGCTGAAATATCGATAATAACGATGAAATAAAACACCCTCAAAAAAACTGCCATCAACTACAACCTTAGCACGATTTCTCTGTATTTCAAATGCTCTGCACAAATCCTCTAAACCCGTTGTTTGTTTGCCATTACACGTCTTCCTCAGAACTCACTTGGATGAGTGACAAAACTTTTGTCGCACTGAAAACGCCACATCCAGGTGAACAGAATCAACATTTTGGGAATGCCAAAAACAGTTATACTGAGACAGGTGCACACTGTTAAAGTTGTTATAATAAAACAGAATTATAATAGCTAACATGATTCATAAGTGCAGGTGGTTTGTGCTCTTCTTTCCTCAGACAGATATTAACAGTAGCGTTACGAAGGTCAGGATTTACAACATTGCTACCTGACTCTGCACATTATTCATTTATACATATTTATCACTACAATGTAGATGGTGTAAAATGATATCTACATATTATTAACATTAATATCATATTGTTGATCATTGTTTCACATTTTGTGCCACTCCTACACAGCTAATGTGACCTTGAATCATCTGATCCTTTTTGTCACAACGATGTCAGCAGCATCACAATGAATAAAAATCATCATAACAGTGGAAAAAGTCCACATCCAGCAATGCATACCACAGGCACAAAGCAGTCTGCAGGGTCTCCTGTTCTCATCGTGGCATAGATTAAAGTTACTATTTACCCTTGTTAAAACTGAAAAACAAGTTCAAAATATCCTAATCTTGATTTTGCATGAGACTGGCAATTTGCATCTGAAGCTTAAGCTGGTGCCCACAGAGGTCTGTGAAACGTGACATTGGAGACTTTGCTTCTATATCAGCTTTGACTGCAAAATTCGATGATTTGAAACCTCCTGGGTAGGGATCCGGTGCCATGATGGAGACCGAAAAGCAGCGCACATCTCGGTGCTTTATTT